GGGGACGGGACCGACAGTGAGAGCATTGCGAATACGGCTGGCTTCTCGTATCACGTTTAACGCGCGTCTAACGTCGACGAGGCCTTCATAGCCACAATACTTTGCGATCCACAGTAGTCTGTGTCACAACAAGTGTACAAACGCTTGGCTGATAGACGCGACGTGAGGCAATCCACTTTCTGGGGCGATATTGCCCACATCCCTCGTGCATTAATTGTGGTTAATTCGGCTTATCGGCTTGTTAGACGCTAGTCGTACGAGACAAGCTCGACGGACCGGTAAACGTGACGAGAATTGAGCACGTATTGCAACGATCTCACTATCTGGACTGTATCCCGTATTTCTACAAATTTCGAGTAAAATCGTAAAACCCGGAAATGTTTCCGAATAAACGCACCGTTTATTGCACGTGCCATGAGGAAGCTGCAACAGAAATATTTAATGAGATAAGAAAAATTAAAGAATAAGATATTGAAAGAGCTAAGATGAAGGAAATATTACAAAAAGGAGATTCAAAAAGGAATATGTGAAAATATAATTAAAAATGATTCTTCGAACATGCTTGAATAATTGAGTGTTCGTTTTAAAATTTATTATTTATTTCAATTCCCTATTCTTTTTACCGCAACGCATCAAAAAGTTGTACTTATAATTAGTCATGATGTTAATATACACCAATTAATAGTACTGTAATTATAATATGTAATATCGATGTTATAATACTTAATATTGTAATTATAATAATGTAACACACTTACGTAACAGTTAGTTTACAGCGTGATAATGGATAGGGTAACAGAAATTTTAAAATTGTATAAAAGATTGAGATTGCATAGTGTATTCAGATGAATATCATACACTATTGATGCAATAGTATATATACGAGTATATACAATTGAATACACTCTGTGACTTCAATCTTTTACACAATTTCAAAATTTCCATTAACTTGTCCAAATTACTCCGTTGTATCCTATATTAATTATATATCATTGTTGTGTTATATATGTTACTGTTTTTCTGTGTTTAGATTATAAAAAACTGTCACAAAGATATGAAATAGTTTATGAGAAATCATTGAAATCTTTTACATAAAACAGATTACGAGAGTTGTGATGAAAGGAGTATTACAAAAAGAGGAAATGAAAGAAGAAATGTTTGTAATAGAAATTAAAGAAATCCTTTCAAAGGTATATTGAGTGTGTGCTAAGTTGTCGATATCGAATAGAAATATTTTGTATGAATTTATATTCATCGATGCAAAAAAACTTATTTATATTTATCTTGAATGAATAGGCAACGGATATATCTGATTTGATAATCGAAAAGAAAAGAATCTATTCATTATTTGACATATTTCATATTGTATAATACTCGATCGATGATAATGTGTGCTCGTTATTATTCTTTTGTAATTCGTTTTTCCTTTTTTCGTTTTTATATCGCCATTTCTTCTCTTGTTTCGCGAATATTTAGATTTTTCATATAAATGCGTAATATAAATGCGTATTTTTTTATTTGATTGTCAAATAGACTCAAAGTAATCATAAGAAAATTCTTCTCAGTGATATCAGTAGATGTATTAAGAGTCCATTAATAAAAAGAGAAAAAAACGCAGGTAGTTCATTTCGTGTCAGATAACTTTCGATGTCAGATAACGAAAAGTTAGATGTTCATTACTTTTGCAAATTTGCTTTAAATAATTTATATAATAAAAACACTAATATATTGTACCACGAAATGAACTACCTGCGTTTTTTTCTCTCTTTTTATTAATGGACTCTTAATACATCTACTGATATCATTGAGAAGAATTTTCTTATGATTACTTTGATTCTTGATAAAAATGACTCGCAGCGTACTACACGGAATGAAAAATATTAAAAATTGTAATAGTATTGTAATACCATGTACATATTTTTTATTTAGAACGATGTTGATATATTAAGACTACATTGAAAATGGCTCAATTATGTCGAAACATTTGTTGTTAATTGTAATTGTTTATATGAATTTTTAATGCTAATTTAAATTAAAATTTGTTTATACAGTACTGGCTCTTTGCCCTTTTTTTGTACTACATTGTTCTATGATATATGATATATTAACAATTTTTTCTCATTATCAATTTGTTCAATTTAATTTCTGTCGGTTTATTGGTACCCGAAAATCTCTCTAATGTCTTTTTTATCTATCTTTTTTAATTATCAAATAAGAAATAATGACGTGCAGTCTAAGAAGTTACAATAATAATTATAAGATATTTATATATTGTGTGCATTTTATCGGGTGATATACCAATGTTTATAGCTGTGTTTTTCAATGTATATATTTCTTTATTATATTATTCGATATGTTTTAAAAATTATTTGCATCAATATCTTTTAAAATACATTAATTATAAATATCAAAGATCTGTTTTTTTATAAGAAAATTTTAATATCAACATTATAATAATTAAAAAAATTTTTGTTATGTAAATATTTCTGGGATCTCAAGTCACATTATTATATATATTTTGTTTGTTGTAAAATCAATTTGGCAATCAATCCGAATGAATGAACTACAAAACATTGTGTTAAAATTGGTGCTCTATAAAAGTTAAAATTATTTATTTATATTCATATGTAACAACGCATTTATATATATGCATATATAACTCAAATACGTTAAACTAATTAAAATAATTTAATTGTAATATTTCTTATTTTTATAAGGAAGTATTTATATTTCACATAATATTAGAAAATATAAATATACATATATGTTTGTATATTATATATTATACATATATATTTTTATTTTGCACCAATTTATAAAATATTTAATCTTGGAGAAGTATTAGAAAGGGGATTAGGGGAAAGAATATATTCTTGTCTAATTGACTTTTAGCAATCAGCTCGTCTTTTTATTTATTTAACTTAATTTTTAAATAATTCATCAAAACCATTCTTTCTGTGTACTACTAATCTTAAAGTTGTATCTGTATAAATACGAAAATAGATTAAAAAAATAGGAAATAAAATTTATTAATGTTTATTCAATAAAAATAATTTTAATACAAAATGAAGATTCGAAATTAAATTTTATTAAATTTTATTTATAGACTATTATTTATTTTCAATATTAACAATAAAGAAATATTTAAATATAAAAAGATACTAAAATTAATTCCTCCTTTTCTGTAGAAATATAAAAATCAAAAAGTCAAAGCAAACTAATAATATATAAAACTAGAGCATAATAAAAAATAGTTTCATATATACATATATGGAAATATATATTATCAAAATAATTAGATTTTTGTTAAATTAAAATTATTGAAATAAAACATAAAATAAGAAAGAAATAAAGTAAAATCATAAAACAAAATATTGAAAATTTATAAAGCTTTTCTAAAGATTTGATAAACATCAAAATTTATAAAGCTTTTCTAAAGATTTGATAAAATATCAAAATTTTATATAGCTTTGCTTTTTTACAGTCTATATTATGTTTAAATTTTTTATATAATTATTTTGATGGTACAACGTAATTATTTTCAAATCTGTATCTAAATTTTTAAATATTTTAGCAAAATTTTTGAAACGCAAATTTTTTCCGTATCAGTCACAAATAATAAAGAGGAATCCAAGATTAAATATTTGTCACAATGTTTAATTTTTTCATTTTAAGGCAATCGATCCATGAAGTTTTGTATATTCGATATTTACTCGTGTATATACGATTGTAATGTCGATATATATCTGACATAATTTTCAAGATTCATTACTCATTAATAAAATATTTTATCACTCACCGACTGATGCATACTAATAGAGTTATCGGCCACATAACTATGATGATTCTGTAACAAACAAGAATAAATTATGAATTAAAATAACGCTCAAAATAATCAATGATTTATAAGATATTTCTTATGCGCAGAATTTTTTATTCACTTTTCAATCAAATATTGAAATAATTGTTCATTGTTCAAAAAATATCTTCATGAAAATGAACTTTTTCAATGTTTCAAATTATTTTCTCTAATTATTATTTTTAAATTAAAATAAAATAATCCGGATAAACGAGAAGGAAGGGCTAATTTTATTGTAAGTAAACAATAATGCTTACCACAAAGTTGTTCCACCGGCAAGCAATGCTTTTCCTATGTTTTTTCCTCCTTTCAAATTTTTAAATTTTTTCCTTTATCTTCTCTCACAAGTTAACGGATCCTCTTATTAGATTGCATTTACACATAATATGCAATAGCGGAATTGTAGTATCTTCTTACAACACTAATCTGTAATATAAATATATTCAAATAAAAATGTCTAAAATAAATATATTGAAGAACAATTTTATTGATCAAGTTTATGTATACAAATAATCTTAGTTGTGAATTGAAATCGATCTTTTTGATATAAAATTTAATTGTAAAATGAATTTTATATTAATTATAAATATCTTAAATATTTTGAAATATTTATATATATTTGTTCACAATTATAAATATTTTATTAAATTTAATATTTAAAAAATCTTAAAAAATAATATAAAATATCTTATTTATTTGATAGTATAGTATACGCAATTACATAAATCTAAAATGCTAATTACTTATATATAAATAATTACATATATATAAATAATTATTTACACCAATAGTAAATAATAAAATTAATTAATTATGAAATGCTCACATCACGATTCTTTGCATCGTCATCCCTATCATTGCTCCGGCTTTTATTTTATTTGTTCTTTTGTATTACTATTTCTTCGTGCTACAACATCTGCTTGCAAAAATAAATTACTAATTACAATTAACTGTGATTACAATTTACTAGAATAACAATTGTGCGTCTTTATTTTATTCAACAGTCTCGATATTAATCACATTTAACGCGTATTTAATCATATTTATACGACAGTGGAAAAATCAGAGCATACGAAATTACGACACGTTTGATATTCACGATATTTCAAATAAAATACATTGGATTACATTTAATTGTAAGATGATAAAGAGACTCGTTCTCTACGCGATCAATTTCATGCCAAAAGCGATGCGACAACACAGCGGTAACGCGTCGCCGTGGCGATGCTCTTTTGGTTTTCAATCGAACAAGTTCTGCGAAATGCGCGTTCGATCGAATTATCAGCGCACGATTATCGAAATCTATTATGCAATATTTCAGTAAAAGAATAAAAGAAGTTACTAAATAAATGCAAGTTTCACTTACCTATTAAATCAGTAACGACGCCACCTCATTCGAGGCCAATCTGTCCCGAGCTGTCGCGTCCTGCAAATGAAACGTAAACGCGTTAGGATAGCGAGAAAGCTTCGTTTTCAGCGCGAACCGCGAACAACTTCACACGCTAAAAGTGACGCAGAGCGACGACGACGCTACGTGTCCCACTCTTAACTTTGTGTTTATACGTTTTCTGCATTTCGAACTATAAATAGTATACACGCATTACATTGTACAGAACAAGTGTATTAATACCATACTATATATTCGCGGCATAAGTTGCTTTGCCAATTATTCGCATAATACACCTTCAGTCGGACAAATATTGAGATCCGCGTTTTAACTAATTATTAGTAGCATATGAGCGCCAAATTGATGTTTCGCGTCGGATAAATGGAGGAAGGGAGGGAGAGAGGGAGGGAGAGAGAGAGAAAAGTACAATAATAATATAAGCTTTTTTACCAATTAAACAATACGAAAGTATTTTTCGCAATACCCATTCGGTCGCATCAAAAATAGTACGCCGCGTTAACTTTAACGATGCATGAAGTTGATAGTGCGCAAAAAACGACGCTGTTTCGCCATCTTAATAAGATCGCGGCGGAGATCGACGGACGAGACGCGTTGTCATGTCACTCGTCTCGTCTGTCCAATGTCCGCCGCGATCTCATTAAGTTAGCGAAGCGGCATCATTTTTCACGCAAAAAATCACGAACAATCAATGTACTACTAGAATCAATGATCTACATTACGCGATATAGGAAATAAATACAAAGTTAATTATACTTCGTGCCACATTAAGTTGTTAGAAATTTCACGCCCATGAAAACATAGCGGTATTAGTAACATACATTAATACCAACATTAAATATTTTATTAATACGTAAGATATTTTAAACTGAGAACTAAAAGCGGACTAACATTTCTCGTGTCGCGTGTGAAAATATTAATTTGTTAGGTACCTTGTTAATATATACGAACGATCCTTTCGAGCCGTTTCCCGTCGTTTTATTCTCAGAGATTAGGATATTTCTGGAAACCAGGATACTTCCGCAGGATGAGGATACTTCTGCAGGAAAGGTCCATAATTGACTCGACGCCAGGGATGCGAACAGGGATGCGAACAGGGATGCGAGTGCGAGATATTTCAACGTAATATTGTGAGACGTAACCCCACCGCCTGTCGAAACGCAAAAGTGCGAGGACCCCAATTACGCGTTATTTATAGGAGCCGGTAAACCTCAAACCCCACCACTCTCAAGCCAGCCAATAAGCATCGGTCTCGCTGCGGCTGCTATATCTGAACGCTCATTGGATCACCGTTAGCTTTTCAATAAAGTATATAAACGCTACGCGTGAAAGCTTTTAGTTTTCTTCAGAATTTGAGGGCGTACGTTACTCAAAGCCGGAGAATCTTATACGTATTCAGATCGCGTTTTTACAATGTTAGCACATTTCTAACACATATTTATCGTTAAAAGCACGTTCTGAATAATACAAAAATTATATTCTTTCTGAAAATTAAAAAAAAACCGATTTGACTAAATGACTGCTATATTGAAAAGATTGTATGAAAGAAAAATTGATCTTATAAAATAATAAGTAATCAATCTTAAAAAACGCAAATTAAAGTTTGAAATTAATAACAAAAAATTAAATGCTTGTATCTTTATCAGAATTTTTAATCGATAATCGTTATTGCAGATGACGACTATTAAAAAAAACAACTTATAATTTTCTATTGTAATTAGAATTTATTTTAATTAAGAAGAAGAAGAGATAAAGACATTATAATTTACATTATATTTTTTAAAATATATTTTAGCACTACGATTTAGTATGAATTCGTACTACATTTATTTACGATATCGCGATTTTATCACTAATACGTAGCTATGTAGTTCCTAAATCTAAAATGTATGTACTGGCGCTAATGTATGAGCGATTCGACAAGAAAAAGACATAGCCTCTCTCAGGTTTCTCTTTGTTATTGGTAAACCTGCTTTGGAAGTATTGCGACTATTGCGTCGCCAGCCACGCCATTTTCTGTCTGAATTCTGTCTGAGCAATTGTGAGGTTCTGCAATTCACACATTCCGAAAATTGCAGCGAAAGCACGATGTCCTCAGCGAGCGGTGATGAAGCCGAGGTTGCTTTGGCCGAACCAGGTAAAGCTTTGAGATACGTGATCCATCATCAGATCATTGGAGATGAGCTGGTTTGTCTCCAAGGACGTGCCGCCCGGCGCGACCGCCCAACCCACGAAACCGCCATTTCGATGAGACGGCGTCTCATACACCTGGAGCATTGTAAATATTTCGTTGTGATTTTTTCCAGTGAGACGCACTAGATCGGGTCGGGCCCGAAAAACAACAGTAGCCAAGAAACCACCTGTGAAGAAACTTCTTGCCCGAGCAACGCGCTTTCCCAAGAAGATCCATGAGATTGAGGAAATTGAGGTAAGAGTCAACCCTTTTGTAACCGATTGCACTGACATGGATTAATATCATCAGTGAATAACATTATCTTTATCGTCTGGCAATAAAACTGAAGCAAAGTAGCTGAGCATCAGTGTGGCTTTCTGTTTATTTTCTTTTGATATAAATGTTTGAAGAATGGACAAGTCATTAATCCAATATATATATATATATATATTTCATTAGAACAGCAATAATGTAAAATAATATTTATTTGACTAAAATATTGAACAATTATAATATATAATGTAACTTTCAATATTTTATGTCTACAATATAAATATGATCTATTTGAATAATTTGTTTGTAGAAATCAATATGAAAAAAAAAATAGTAAACAATTAATTGTTATTGCAGGAAGAGACTACATCTATGTTGGAAGAGGAGGTGATAGAAAGTATGCCTGAGAACGGAGTTCAACGTGTGACAGACGTTATTGTGGAACAACGTAGCGATGAAGATTCTTCCACGTTGCATTTGCAATTGGAGGATTCCGAAGACACTAATATACAGGAAATGAATATGGATCAAAATGAAGAAATGGAACAAGATGTTGAAGAAATAGTAAGTGATTTATGCAACATTTTTTCTCATTTTTATTGATATTCAAGTTTCTAAAAACTACATTACTTTTTTATCACTTTATGATACTATATTTCATAAAACTTATTTCATTTAGGAGCATTCCAATATAAGATCAGAGGGCATAATTATGGAAGAAAGTAGTATGGACAAAGTAGAGATACTGGCTGAACGTGGAGACATCGAGGTGGAAGGTCAAGACGTCCAGTTGGAATGTCAAGATGTTGAAATAGAAGGTCAAGACATCAGTAATGATGACTCTAATCAACAACGTGTATTGATAGATTTTCAAGAAGTTATCAATGAAGATGGCAACACAATGACGCAAGAAATCTTAGAGGCAGAGGAGGTAGATGGTTCAGAGAACATGTCTACTCATACTGGTACTAGAATCCAAGTTATGGAAATTGACGAGCAAGAAATATCGGAAGATGTGGAAACAGTAGAAACAGTGGAAACTGTAGAAGCAGTGGAAACAATGATGAATAAGATAGAAGAACCCGAAATGGAAGTGTCACAGAGTGATTCCCTGCCGCGTATAGAAATAACTGCAGTTGAAAACGAAGAAAATGAAGAAACTGAAGAAATACAAGAGTACATAACTGAAGATGATACAAAGAAGATCGGACCTGATACGGAAGCTGTGTCAGAGGACGAGTTGCCGACTGAAGCTGCAGCTAAGGTCAGAAGCGTTCTATTCACATTTTTTATATATATATGATCAGTTCTTTTCAGCTGAATTCACATTGGAGAAAAAAAAGAGAAAAGATGTTTGGAAAAAGTTTAGCTGAATGAATTTATATAAATCTTTTATTATTGTTTTATATAATAGTTTCTATAATAGTAAATTCATAGATTGATAACATAAATAATTTTTACATAGGAACCAGAGACTGAAGCAGTTTCTGACGAAGAACTGCCGGTTGCTGCTGCAGCAGACTTGGGCGAAACTGAGTCTGTGTCTGAAGATGAATTGCCGCCAGACAGCGATAAGAAGAGAAAGCATGGGGCAAAATCAATAAAAACACTAGAAAAGAAAATTAAACCAGAAGGCGGAAGTTAGTACATTTCGTGTTTCCATCTTGATAGAAAGCAGAAAAGCAGCAGTCAATTAGAACTTCGCGCTGATAATCGACAATTTCGACTGTTTAGTTCCAAGCGCGAGTTCTGATCGACTACTTTTTTTGTTTTCTTCTTTTCTATACGAACGCGCCCTTAAATACTGTTAAATCTATTATATAGTATCAAATTTAATCTAATGTGAGTCGCCACTGCTCCTATTAAATATATCATTATTTTTTACCAAAACGATATAACGACACTATGTAATGTCAAATATAACCATTATTTTGGTAAAATATGTTTGAGTAGGAACAATAGCGACTCACGTCAAGTTAAATTTGACACTACAGATTTAATAGTGTACAATGTACCATAAAATGTCGTAGTCTAGAAATTTTCTTACATGTTCCTCTTTTATATTTTTAGCTAAACGTAAATTAAATGCGGAAGGAGAATACGATCCCAGTTCTCCGACATCTGAGAACAATGATGAGGCACCGGCAAAAAAGGTTGCCTTATCGAGCGATACGGAAGCGGGAGATAAGCAAGAAATCAAGCCAGCATCGCCAAAAAAGAAAACATTGCCTGAATTAGAAAAATATTGGAAAGCTGTTAATGAAGATCCATCTGACTTTACAGGATGGACGTATCTCTTACAATACGTGGATCAAGAAGTAAGTAAAAGATTATTTAAAAGTTTTACTCAAGATTCAGTCTATGTTAATTATTCTTTTATATATATATAATCTATATATTAGGTGTTGGAATTAATTCGTAGCGTTTTACAAGTGATGGGAAGTACTTTCATTAATGTATTTTTTAATGCTCATGTGAAATAAATAACATTCTTTCATTTAAAAACGCTACGAATTAATTCCAACACCTAATAATATGGAATATAATTTATTTTCTTCATTATATATATATAAGAAAACCAAAAAGAGGACATGATTTCTTATATTTACATTACAGCCATGCATTTCTTATTTTCTTATCATCTTTTCTTTTTTATATTTATTAGATAACTTAGTTCATGAGCTTCCACTTCTTTATGGTTTGGTTGAGAAGAAACAAAAAGAATAGACGCTAAAGTTCTGGCTGCTTTAGCATATATTCTTTTGTTTTCTTTATCTAATATAGGATATATTAAAGCAAATTAAAATGTATTTGACAAGTGATTAAAGAAATATCTGATAATATCCTTGGTGATATACAGAAGTCTTTTCAATGAATTAGAATCAATATTCGATTTTTATTATTTTTGCTACAGAACGATGCAGAGGCTGCGCGCGAAGCTTACACCAAATTCTTGGAGCGTTATCCATATTGCTACGGTTACTGGAGAAAGTTCGCCGATTATGAGAAGAAGAAGGGCAACCCCGAAAATGTTCAAACGGTGAGTCCGATCGTATATTACGTTCGTTAGGCTATCTCTCATTATATGATATCATTATAATTAACGCAATCTAATGAAAATAGCTCGAGTTAGGAAGACGCGTGGGCAGTGTGCACGCACATAAATATGGTTTTCCCTTCCAACAGCATAGCACGTCTTGCGGCACCTATTCGACTTTCTTCGTTTACAAAATAGTTACTTATTTAATTAATATCCTGCGATACTTACAAAAATGCTATATTACATATTTTACTATCTTACCGATATATCGAATACATCAAGTACTCTATCGTACAATACGTAAGTCGAGCGAGATGGCTAGTTGTTTCCGAAGCGCCTTTATCGTGATGAAAGAAAACTATGTTATATTTACTGTAAGCATTTGTACACATAGCTTACTACAGAAAGTATTGTAAAACTCTTAAGCATAAGATATATGCGCTACTCTTACTTTATGTAAGTAAGATATGTCGGGTTGGGTGTTAAGTCAAAGTCAGAGACAAAGACTTAGGACACGTGCACGTGCCAGAATGGGAGCAAGAATGAGTGGCGGAAGACACTGTGGCGCCCAGATCGGAACACTCCCTGACTTTTAAGGTGAATGCACAATGCTCTGCAATCTCTGTGTTAATTAAATCTCTTTATTTACAGTATGCGAACGATATGTGAGTATACGTTGCTAAAAAAGACCGTAATGCTTAACGAAAGCTAAAAGC